CCCTTGGCTTGTGGCCGCGCCGTCCAGTCTGCGGCTGCGGTGACTCCCCGTCTGTGTCTGCCTCGCCTCTGACTGCGGGGCGCCGGGCATGCGGGGCTGGGGCTCACCCTGCCCGCCCCCCGGCTGACTACACCCGCAGAGACCCCAAACACGGGCGGGTCGCGGGCAGGGCGCGGCCCTCCGCCTGTCATTTTGGGGACACAGTCCAGGCCCCGTTCTGTGTCTCAAGCGGATTCCCCTTCGCCTTTGCCCGCCTCGCTGCCCCTGCCCGCGAGCCCCTGGGGTCACGAGGTGCGGACAGCCAGGCCCAGCCCCTGCCCGGGTGCCCGCAGGTGCCCATCGTCTTCCAGGACCTGGCCGTGCGGTTCTCCCAGGACGAGTGGCGGCTCCTGGCGGAGGGGCAGCGGGAGCTGTACCGGGACGTGATGCGGGAGAACTACGAGACGCTGGTCTCCCTGGGTGAGGCGGGGTGGCCTGGGCCCCGGGGGCGGGCGCAGGGGCGCGGAGGGGAGGCGGGGCGTTCGGGGTTGCCCTGCGACCCCGGGCCGGGTCGCCTACAAAGTCCACATGGGCGTGGCCGCCAGGCGCTAGGGTGCCCTGTCGGGGCCCTCGCTGACTTTTCGCTGTGTTTGTGGGTGCTGCACTAGGACTCTGGGTCCGTGTGGGGCGGTGCTGGAGGCAGGCGAAATGGGTTCCTGAATTTGGGGGTCCCGTGAGCAGGTGGGATCAGGTGACGAGGCGAGGCCGGCGCCCGTCCCAGGACTGTCCTCCCCTTCCCCAGGGACAGATGAGCTGCTCCCCCTCTCTGCCTTCCTGTGTCCCACGGAGCTTGGAGGAGCCGTGGGGGGCCGGAGCCGCACTGATGCGGGGCCAGAGCCTCCGCGGGGAGCAGGCCCGCCAGGTGAGCAGTCTGGGCAGCCCAGGCCCGCCGGGCGCGCTCCCGTCTCCCACCCTGCGGCCCTCGGCCCCGCCTCCTCACCTCGGGTGACTCAACCTGGGCCGGGACCCCCAGCGGACTCACCCCTCGCCCCTCGGGGCTGCGGGCCTGGCCCCTGGCCGCGGTGCGAAGTCCTTAGGGTGGCCCCGTCCGCCCCCTTCCTCGGTACCCGCAGCCTCGCCCGCAGCCTGCAGCCCCGCGCCCCTGCCACTGGAAGAGCCCCCAAGGCCGCGGGTGGTGGGCGTGTCCCGGGCAGCCGGGCTCTGGCCAGGCAGAGGCTGGTGGTGGGGGCGGGCGGCCTCTTCGTGTCCCGGGCCTGGGCCGGGGCGCTGCTGCACAGGGGCCGAGCCCCTGGGGCGCTGGGGTGAGGTGCCTGGGGTTCACAGGGCCTCTCCCACAGGAGCTGCCCCCCAGCACAGCCTGCACCTCAATGCCCTGGTGCAGCTGGTGAGGGAGATTCCGGAGTTCCTGTTTGGGGGAGTCAGCCCCGATTGCGGGGGCGCTGGCCTGGACGGGGAGCAAGCGAGCCCCCAGGGTAAGTTGGCCTCCTGTTTGTGGGGTGCCGGCTGAACCTGCCAGACCGGGGAGTCCCCCTTGGGAAGCCCCGTGCTGCGCTGCGGGACGAGAAGCCCCTGGCTCCTGCGGCGCCACCTGCCCTCGGGGCCGGTCGCCCGGACTCTGCGGCCAGTGGGGACCTGGGCTCACCTCAGGAGCTGGCCCCCGCCCCGGCCGGGGTTGGCTCAGTCCACTCAGTTGCTGTCAATAAACAGGAGTGCGGGGTGAGGGGGCTGCTGATGGCCCTGCATGCAGGGGGCAGGGGACGGGGGGCTGGACGCGGTGCCCAGCTGACTGTGGCCTTTAGTGAAATGAGCAGGGCGGCCCGAGGGTCGCCACGTGGGGCGTTTTACCTGCTGGGCTTAACTTCCAGCCTCGAGTGACCTCTCCCTCCTCCCGGACAGCAGCCATGGCCCTGGACGCTGGCCATCTCGGGGGCCTGATCGGGGGCCTGCCAGACACCCCCTCCAGCGGACCCAGCCTGGCCTCCACGCCCAGCGGCAGCTCCTTGTCCAGTGACCCACCTGGAGCCAGGGGTCAGGGGAGCCCCCTCCCCATCAGTGAGTAGGGGTGGGCAGGGAACCCAGGGTTCTGGGGCCTCTGGCCTGGGGACTCAGAGTCCTTCCTTGCTAAACGGGCACACCCAACCCCCCACCCCGGGGAGGGGGCTCCCCGCTCAGCCAAGGTGCGGCCGAGCGGGGCTGCGCTCTGCCTGGAGGCCGCGCTGCTGACCCGCCAGGCTCCTGCTGACCCCTCGGACCTCGTCGCCCCTGACAGTGGGGCCGGGGCTGCCTGTCCAAGTTCCCCGGCCTCGCTCAAGTTTTAAAAGTTCTTGAGACTTTGCATTTGGCTCAGGGCCGTTTTTAAAACACTAAGTCCTATGGCTGAGACGGGCCTCCAGGTAAGCTCGCCTGCGGCCTGTGGCTGTGCGTGTGTCTGCTCCGGGCCTGGAAGAGCGCCTGCGGAGGATTGGGTCTGCCGGTTGGGTCTGCTCTCACCACTTGCCGAGGAGGATCTGGGGTGGCCAGGGTGAACAATTCTGGTATTTACAGGCACCCCAGAAGGAGATAGGTGGCTCCCGGAACCAGCCCCGGGAGAGCAGATCCGAGCAGGCTCCCTGGGGCCGGGAGCCAGGGCTCGAGGGCCTCCTGTCTCCCCACAGAAACTGCGGGCAGACCTTGGCCCACCGAGAGGGAAGGCCCAGGGGCGCTGGGCGGGGAGCGCGGCCCGTCCTCCCGCAGTCCCAGCCCGAGGACGACCCCCCGAAAGCAGGAGGGGGGTGCCGCGGGGTCAGGTGAGAGCCCTGCCGTGGGCCCACCCGGGCCGAGAGGGCGGGCGTGGGCGCTGGTGAGGGTGTCGTGCGCTGACCCTCGGCAGCCCTGGCCCCGCGGGCCGGGGGCTCTGGCCTTGCCCTGTGAGTGGGGAAGCCCGAGTCCAGAGAGCCGAAGCGGGCTACCGGCCTTGTCTGACCTTGCAGGTGCTGCAGGAGTGTCCCCTGGGCGCAGCCCCTTGCAAGGCCTCATCAACTGCCTGAAGGAGATCCTGGTGCCCGGGCCCCAGCTCCCTGCTGGGCCGCCTCCCGCCCCCGGCCTGGGTGCTTCTCGCCTGACCAGGGCTCCCGGGGGCCCACCCTGGGGAGGTGAGTCGCGGGGACCTGTCCCAGCCCAGGTCTCAGGGCCCCTGCTGTGCTCTAGACACCTCTCGGACAGTCTCTTCCCCAGGGTCGCCGCTGGCCGGCGGCTGCGGGCGTGGTCCGGCTCGGGGCCTGGAGTCAGACCGCCGTCATAGGCCAGCAGTGCTGGCCAGTGGCAGGCCCGAGGCTCTGGGGCTCTTCGCTCGGTCTCACCTGGGCCTCTGGGTGGGGGTGCTGAGCAGGGCCAGGGTGCTTCCCATGGACCTGGGGGCTCGGTGGTCAGGTGGGGCGTGTTGGACCCCAGCAGCTGGGCAGACCGGCGGCCTCCAGAGCCTGAGCGCCTCCGTGCCCCCTCTGTGGAAGGGGGCAGTGGTTCCCACCCCGGCGCAGTTTGGGGGCGCAGCGTGCGCGTGAGCGGGGCCCGGGGAGCCCCGACCTCGCCAGCGTCTGTCCCGTCTCCGGGTCTCGGCCCGGTGCGCCTGCTCCCCCACCAGTCCCAGCCCCCGTCTGCCGGCTGGGCCACCCCCCCACATCATCCCTCCCCTGGGGCCTCTGGGGGGGGCCTGCCCAGGGGGTGTGACCCCTGACTGGCTCTCCTGCGAGTGGGGGTGCCTCGGAGCCCCGTGGGGTGGGGAGTGGTGGCGAGTGCGGCGTCGTGTAAACTGGACTCAGCAGACCAGGGGCTCGTGGAGACCTGCAAAGTTTGAGAAGACTCACTGCTCCAGGCCTGCACCCCTGAACCGCACCGGGGCGCCCACTTATTTGTCGTGGCGACCGGAGGCACTCGGCTCAGGGTGCCCTGCGTTCCGTCTGGCCCACAGTGAAGACGGAGGCGTCCGCCAGCGACTGCCCGCTGCAGGGTCTGCTGAGCTGCCTGAAGGAGATCCCAGAGGCCCCGGACAGGCGCCCCCCAGGCCCCGGGGGCGCACCCCCGCAGGAGGGGGGGACACGGAAGGGGCATCCCGGAGGTAAAGGCCCCGGCGGGCCGGGGCCTGGGCACCTCGTTCTTCCTCTCCTGCTGCGGGCAGGCGGAGGGGCCCTCTGGGGACCCTCAGGGCTACATGCTGGGTGTGGGTCAGGCAGCTGGGTGTTGGGGCCGCCCCTCTGTAAGCAGAGGTGCTTCGTCAGCCCGAGGTGACTTTCCAGAGTGGCTGCCGCGGTAGGAGCTGCAGGTTCAGAGGGAGGAGTGGCCGGGAGGGGAGGAAGCAGGCTGAGGGCAGGCGGGGCCCCAGCTCGACAGGCCTTCAGGGTGTGGTTTGGGTGTTTGTTGGGGTTCACAGAGCCTGTAGCTGCTCAGAACAGGGAGAAGCTTGACTGAGATGGGCGTGCTGGCCCTGGGGGAGGCCCCGACTCAGCGCCGCCCGGGAGACCTGACTGGCATCAAGCCGCGGGAAGTGCCCGTGGGCGGGGCAGGCGAGGGGGGGTGCAGTGGCCCCTTCTGCGTGCACTGAGCAGGGGGTCCTAGAGGGCAGCGCCCTGGGACGTCCTGCCCCGACCCTGAAAGGCCTCCTGGGGACTTCCCACAGGGTCCAGACCCCCCCAGGCCCCTTCTTCCGGCCCCGGCGCCGGCAGAGCACTCCCGGTGGTGAAGACAGAGGACGTCTGGGCCCAGAGCCCCCCCGTGCCGACACCCTGTCAGCTCAGCAACTGGACACACAGCCCCGCTGCCCTCAGCAGTCCTGGGGGCGCTGGAGGCAACAGAGGGGTCCCAGCGCCCAGCTGGGGCCCCTCGGCTCAAGGTGAGCCTGGGTGGTGTGGTTGAGGCACGCCCAGGCCACCCACTCCACCTGGGGTCGCCGGCCGTGTCCCGCAGGAGGCCGTCCAGCTGGCCATCTGCCCCGGGCTAGCCCGGCCCGGGCGCAGTCTGCTCACAGCCCGCCGTCCTGCCCGCTCCCGAGCCGGGGCTGGCTCTCCCCATAGGTGTGAGCCCGGGGCTGGCTTGTGGGTGTCCCGTCGGGGCAGGGAGCAGCCACAGTCCCCCACAGAAGGGTGCCTGGCAGGTAGCGCCCCCGGGGGTGCGGGCTCGTCACCCCTGCGCGGCCAGCCTGGCGGGCAGCGGCCTGGCCAGCGGTGGTGATAGGGCGTCTCCCTGTCCCAGCCGGCAGTGCCTCGCGCTCACCCCTGGAAGCCCTGGAGGCCTGTCTGAAGGGCATTCCCCTGAGTGGGTCGTTACCTCCCCAGCCGCCGGCCACCAGCTGGTTCCGGAGCCCCCAGCCAGGAACCCCCGGGTCCCCCCGGCCCGAGCTGCAGCCCCGAGGATCACACGGTGAAGGTAGCCTGGGCCCCGGGCGGGGTGGGTTTGCCCTGCACACAGCCCCGGGGTGCGGGACACGCTCGGGTCCCCTCCCTCAGCCTGGGCTCCTGAGGCCACGTCCTCGCCCGCCGGCTCCCCGCGGGCCGGACCACGGGGCCACCGGGCAGCTCGCTGCAGGGTGTGAGCCGTGCGTGTGCCCTGGCCGAGGGGAGCCGCGGTGGCCAGGGCCTCGCCCAGTGACTGCCCGTGACGCGTGCGCTGTTTCCGCAGAGGTGGCCGTGGGGCCTCTCCTG